CCGTCCGCAGCTGCGCGGGCGAGGTCGCCGGCCACGCTGAGAGCTCATGCCACAGCCCGGGGAACTTGTTCCTCGTGGTCACGGCGACGAAGAGCGCCCCCAGCACGCGGCCCGCGGAGCTCCGCGGGACTGCCGCCTCGGGCCCCCGAGCCGCGGCCCGCGCGGCACGCCGGGATGCTGCCTCGCCCGCCTTCGACCTGCGACGGCGGCCGCGCTTCCCGGGCGGCGGCCAGGGCGGGGCCCTCGCCCGGGCCGGGGCCGGCGGCCTCACCATCGTCGAAGGCTGGGCCGTCGGCGCCAGGCAGGCCGAGCCTGCGCCGCGGCCACGCTGGCGACTGCATCCCACTGGAGCCGTGCGCCGCCCTGCAGGGCCGCCCACGACCGCAGGTCAGCTGCGTTCGCCTCCGACGGGGAGCCAGCGCAACGCCGCGGCGACGGCGCCAGCGACGGTCAACGAGGCCCACTGACAGCACGCGCGGGCCGTCCTCGGCCGCGAGGACCGGCCCTCGGAGAGAGCCAAGACGGCCACGAGGCTGTCCGAGAGAAAAAGAACACGGTGATCATGCTGGCTAGAATCACGGAGAACGCGCTTCAGAGCACGCACGAGGGCCCCCACTCCGACGCGGGGGCGCGCCCTCCTCGCCCCCAAAGCCCCGCCGGATGCGACGGCCCCTTCGCCCGAGTCAACGGCCCCCACATTCAGGGGCTCGAAGGCAGTGGACCGATGGGACCCCTGCTGAAGCTGCGAGGCTGCGAGAGGACCGGGCCCATAGAGGTGCGAGGTTTTCGATGTCGATACCGCGGCGCCGCCGGCAATCCCAGCGCCGCTCGCAGATTCGGGCGGGCTCGAACATTCAGGCCATGATATAACCGACCTGTGCTGGTCGAAGGCTGCGGGGTCGATGCGCTCCCGCTGCTGCCGCGGCTCGCGATCGGCTCCGAGGCTGGCATTCGGGCCCTGGATGCGCCGGCAACCCGCACCCGGCCGAGCCTCAGAACAATTTTTTTGCCCCCAAGAAGACGCCCACGCAAGCCTCGGCCGCGCTCGGAGGCGCCCGCGCACAAATCTCGGCCCAGCCACTCGGCCCGGAGGTCTGCGCGCGCAAGAGGCCCGCGGCGGCCCCCGACGCGCGCCAGGCAACCGCGCGCGCATGGCCCCCGCGGATTTCGAGATGAAGCGGCACACGGCGGAGAAGACCGACAGGAGCGGGCCCCCCACCATGAAGAGGAAGGCACAGCGCCCGACGACCCGCCTCAGCTGCCGGGCCGACACCTGCGGCACGGCGACCGAGGCCCGCGCGGCCAGGATGAGATGCCAGACCCTATGAGAGGCCGGAGACACGGCCCCGCGGCGGCCGTCGAACGCCCCGCGAATGGGCAGCCCGCGCGAGGGCAGCTTCAACACCATGGCGCCCTTCATCTGATCTGCGACGGAGGGGCCCAATGAGAGCGCGGCCAAGTCGCCGACGCGCTCGAGACGGCGCAGGGCGACGCGCGGGCGGCAGGCCAAGGCGACTTCCACTTTGTAGAAAGCGTCCGCGACGACGGCGGAGGCCGCCAATACGTTGGCGCCCTCGGGGAACTCCACCGCCGCCGGCGCCGCGTCCGCGGCCAGGTGGGCGCTCGCAAGCGCGCCGAAACAGACGTCGGCAGGCCAGGCGTCGACAACGGGCCACTGCTGCCCATTCTGTTCAGGGGCTCAGACGAGGCCGACCTCGCCCGCCACGCCCGCGGGGTCGCAGGCGAGGTCGACGACGCCGGCGCCCATCAGCCGCGTCGACAGGGTCGCGCGAGGCCAGGCCAACTCGGGGTTTCTCGAAGCCACCACCCGCTCCAACAGCTAAAACTTCGGCCCCTGGCAAGAACTTGCTCGAGATATCGCGATGGACGCGGCAACCTCGGGCCCCCGCGACCGACCCAGCGCCGCGGGGCGGTTGCCCAGAGGAGGGAGCGAGAGCCAGGAAACGCCCATCGCCTCCGCCCCCGTCGACAGCGATCCGTCGCAGGACAGAGTAGCCCGGAGCTCGGAGGCCCACCCAGGCTCGAGGTCGCCGGGCGGGGGGCCCAGCAGGGAGACGGACACCGCGACCCCATTATCCACGCGCTGCCGCTGCGCCGCGTTCGCCGCGGGCGGGCCTCCGCCACTGCCTCCGCATCCGCTGAGGCCGCCGCCGACTAATCGCCGACGCCGCCCGGCGCGCGCGCCCCCGCGCGCCGCAGGAACCCCCGCCGCCAGCCAGCCCGCCGGGGTCAGCAGCGGCAAGAACTGGCAGCGGAAAGAGCCCCCGCCGCCACTCCGCGCCTGCCGCGCCGCGCCTGCCATGCACATCGCCGCCGCGGGCGCCCGGCCCAGACGCTGCGATCACTATGACTTCGCGCCTCCGGCCTCGGACCAGAGGCGGCCTTCGCCCCCTCCGGCAACTTACGGGCGCTCCTCCTCAGCTGACTCACACGCTCGAGCTCTTTGCCAACCGCGCCCAGCAAGGCGGGGCACATCATG